CTGCCCGTCTCAGCTGCGGTGTGCTACAGTGGGTTTATGCTCTTTTGAAAAGGGTTTGCACGCAGCTGCGTTTGTGGGCTGCCGGATGATTGCTGCCGTAGTTGAGGATCTGGTCCGTATGCCGATCTCTGGTCTAGTAGCCGAGGCAGTGATGCAGGCGCTGGAACAAATAGCACTCCCGATCGCGAGACCAAAACTTTGGGTACGATACGTAGACGACACCTTCGTCATCCTCAAACGTTCCAAATTGGAGGAAACACACGAACTAATTAACGGTGTGTTCGATGGCATCCAATTCACCAGGGAGGAAGAGAACAACGAGCAGTTACCATTCTTAGACGTTCTCATACGAAGGACTGGTTCTGAACGATTGGAAACAACAGTCTACCGAAAACCTACGCATACGGACCAGATCCTTAACTACGGCAGCAATCATCCGGCAGCCCACAAACGCAGCTGCGTGCAAACCCTTTACAAAAGAGCACAAACCCACTGTAGCACACCGCAGCTGAGACGGGCAGAGGAAGATCATCTCTTCAATCTGTTCAAGCGGAACTCGTACCCAAAAGGCTTCATTCTACGCTGCCTCGCACCAGGAAAGGTTGCTCGAGACACCTCGACGAATGCAACAACTGAAAAGAGAACAACACTGCCCTATATCAGCGGTATCTCTGAAATGGCAGCGAGGCTTTTATTGCCTTTTGGAGTCAAAGTTGCACACCAGCCAACGGAAACAATTCGCAGCAAACTCTTCAAAGTAAAAGATAAACTTAGCAAAGAAGAAGAAACTGGTGTGATTTATAAGATCTGCTGCCGGAACTGCGACAAGTACGACGTGGGACAGACTGGGAGGAAGCTTGGCACAAGGCTATATATATATATATATTATACACAATCTGTGGTACAGATATTGTGCCATCGGAATCATGGCTGAATAGGAAAACAATATGAATAATAAGAAAAGAGCAACAAGAAATGCTTTTTTTGTCAAGTTTACCACTCAGTTTTTGAAATTTTTTTTCAGTTTGTTCGTTTTTAGGAGGAGGAGGAAGGGACACCGCAACACACTGATGCACACGTCCGCCATTGATATCGATCTTGAGCCATAACTTCCAAGGTTTTCAACCAGCAAGTATCCTCGTCTCTCGGACCCCAACCAGGTAGTCGACAACAACCGGCCGAGGCCAATTGTTTCGTCAACTTTTTCATGCGGCTTCTCCATGTTGTAGGCTGTCCACCAGACCGTCTCTTCCAGCCCTGTCCAGCAAGTGCAAACAACGCACGACGGGGGTAACGCTGGACAGGCATGCGCAATACGTGTCCCAACCACCGCAGTTGATGCAGTGAGATGAGCTCCTCGAGCGAGTGGCTTCCACGTCCCAAGACACGCTGTCTAACTTCCACATTGCTTACGTGGTGCTGCCACCACACACGGGCAATGGACCGCAGACAGCGGTGCTCGAAGACGGATAGCCTGCGCAAGTCATCTTTACGAATGGGCCAGGTCTCGCATCCGTACAACAGTACAGCACGAACAGTTGCACAATAGACCCGCCCTTTGATGGAGAGACGAATGTCGTGGCGACGCCACAAATGCCTCAGCCTAGAAAAAGCGAGGCGTGCTTTCGAGATGCGCATCGAAATCTCGTCTCCAACAGCCCCGCCAGCAGTGATGCAACTTCCCAAGTAGACAAAACTCTCCACAACCTCCAGTGTCTCACCAGCAAGCGTGAGTGCAGGCAGAGGCACCTGCCAGTCTTGAAGGAGAGCCTTGCATTTGGATGGCGAAAAGCACATACCATACTTTGATGCTTCAATCGTCAAGCGGTTTAATGCAAGTTGGACGACCTGTGGATCGTCACCTAGCAAGACGATATCATCAGCATAATCCAAATCAACAACTCGACTACCTGGGAGGAGCTCAACGCCAGCGTTCAACGAATCGCTCAGAGCGTTCTTCAGGACATCCTCAATGGCAAAGTTGAATAGGAACGGAGAGATAGGGCATCCTTGTCGAACTCCACTGGAGACCACAAAGGTAGGCGAAAGCATGCCATAAGCCCTAACCCTGCCCGAGGTCAGACTGTACAGAGCGCGCAGTATGGAGACGAACTTCTCGGGGACACCGTTCCTCAGAAGGCACTGCCACAGTACTGTACGATCGACAGAATCGAAGGCAGCACGGATATCCAGGAACACAGCAATCGTTGGCCTCTGATACACATGGCGGAGCTCGAGGATCTGGCGAAGTGTGAAGATTTGATCAATGCAGCCGCGACCAGGGCGAAACCCAGCTTGTTCCTCTCGCTGCAACGATTCGCGTGTTGGGGATAGCCTGCGAAGTATGATGGACACCAGCAGCTTGTAAACGACGGGGACTAAACTTCTTCCTCTGTAGTTGGAGCAGATTGTGCGCAGGCCCTTTTTGAAGATGGGTACGACTATCGATTCACCCCAAGATGATGGAACCTTCTCTTTCGACCAAATTTTCGAGAACAAAACGGTGAATTCTCGGACCAGCGATGCGCCACCATCTTTAAATAGAGCTGGGTGAAGACCATCAGGGCCGGGAGCTTTATAACGCTTCAGGTGCCGGAGCTGCTGCTCGATTTCCTGGGAAGAGGGAGGGTCTGTTGGGGTAGACCACTCGGCCCCAGCGCGAGCGCCAGAGGTAGCAGATGGAGCTGGGGGCCAACAAAACTACGAGCCAAAATGTTCGGCCCATCGCTCCAACCGTCGTTGAAGATTGGTGATTAAGGTGCCATCCTCTTCGCATATTGTTTCACTTATACCAGATCGAACACCTTCGGTGACTCGAAGGAGATGGAAGAGTTTCCTGGTATTACCACAGAGACTAGCAAGCTCCATCTCCCTAGCACGTTCACACCACCAAGCTTCGCGGTCCATTTGCAGACTCCTGCGCAACTCTCGACCAAGGTATTGGCGTTCTTCAACGTGTCTCGAATCCGATGGGATCAAGCGGCGTTTGTCCATCAGCGACAAGGAGTCGGCGGAAATCCAATATTTCTGTGGGTGACGGGTAACTCCACAAGTGTCGATACTGGCGGAAACTAACGCATCTTTGATATGCGCGCACTGCGAATCGAGGTCACCGTTAAGGCACAAGGCTACACGAACACAGCCTAGCCATACGTCGCCACGACCAGAACTCCCTGATGTCAGTGCATATGGATGCTGAAAACCATCAATTCGACCTAGAGCATGCCAGTATCCTCGGAAGGGCTAAAAGCCGGCAAGCACGTGAATTCATTGAAGCCTGGCATTCAAAACAGAACTCGATCAATAAGCACTTGGACATTGAAGTCGCTTACGAGGCACTTCGAACCAGGCCCCTGAAGCCGCACTGATGATGTTGCCTAGTCAGGCAACGAAACGTCTGCAAAATAATTATCCAGCTCGGAGAACTGCTCAAAATCTGAAACATTAAAGTCTTACGTCTTGTACCAGATGGCAGTCGCTTAGCTCATACTAGTACTAGTGCTATTATAATATTCTATTCTCGATTTGCATGGGACACTGTTGGCAAAGCATAATGCGGCGGTTAAAGGTACTTGCAAACAAGTCGTTTACAATTCGACCTTACTAAGGGCAAGTATGGGGCTAGTACAATGGATTTCAAAAGGTGAGACCAGTAAATGTTTCGTGCACTTTCCTCCCAGTTTACTAGACGGTCGTCGGAAAATACGACATGGAAAGGCGCTTAAACTCGTGACTTATATTCTTTCTCAGCGCGGGAGTATTAAGAGAAGGACAAACATAAGACATAGATTCCGGTAGGATAAGGTTGATAAGAGGAAAGTACGAGGTTTGCAATGGCACCGCCAGCTTAAAAACGCTAAACAAAGGAGTTATGAAGTGTGAAGTACGCGGTCATCAGAGGAGAATGCTACATAATCTATAGAGAAAAGGACTTTGCCATGAAATGTATGGTGACGGTAAATTGAAGTGGTAGATATAGGTGGATGAATTCGTCTTGGCTTTTACTGTTTGTACTCACTGGTCTCGTGGGCCGCAGGTAATTGACACCCTTAACGTTAACATCTTGAGAAAAGGTTTTAAAATGTTCGATAAGCGGCACCTAAGAAGAGTGCATCAACCTTAGAGAATATGGCTGGGATTTTCTTCCTCGGCTTGCAATAAATGCTATCCCTGCACCGAAATGGGTGAAGGCGTAAGTTTGCCTGTCAGTGACGTGACATAGAGACATGTAAATATTGACCGGAGACTTGGTCAGGCCGGTGCGTGCCCTCTTCGTGGATGGGAGCATCGGGATGGTTCACATTAGCGGTTGGGACCCTATCGAACATAGCGCAGTCGTAAACTAAACGACGCTTCTGTATTCGATTTTTTCATGTAGCTGTTGACATTCTATAGGAATAACTTTACTCACTTCCTTATTCCTCTCTTTGTATTCTGTTTGCGTTCTGCTTCGTTTTCTTCCCATTTCTATCCCAAGTTATCCTGACAACGAGAGCTGTGGCAACGGGACCCACAACACTTCGATGTGCGGATCATATTCGTTTAACTTAGCCACTGACTCGCTCGAAGAGCTTTTAATTGCTGTATCTTACATGGTTGCCGTGCGGGAACTCACAATTCAGAGCTTTGTTCTCTGCAAAATGTGTAACCTGCATGACATCGGACGAAGAACTGCGCTTTGTCGCACACCACCTACCAATCTTGGTGGGACGAATCTGCTGTCTGACGCTTTTCAGGATGTGTGGAAGGCTTTCTGTCTGGGACTTGACTACAACGAATCATCTCCAAGTTATTCGACTGTGTTGGGTACATATTTTCTCGGCACACGATTGCTAGTCAAAACCCATTGTCTTCTTGCGACTCATTTACTAACGGCATTTTGGACGCGGTTAAGTAGGGTCGATCACATAGTCCTACATAATTTTATGTTTGAGCAAATATATTTGTTAGTCAGCTAAATGCTGGTCTTGATCACTGCGGTTTTGTTTTATACTTTGCAGCAAGGGTGAAAATCGCGATAATATAGTACTCGAGGCTACTGATCTGCTTAGGCCAGTGTTTCGTCCTTGTCTATCGGCTCAACCAGCAAGCTGTGATGTCTTGGCAGCAACACCTGTTTGGAAGAATTCTGTCATCACTCAGATAAAGCTACAAGTTAGTGCTGATTTATTCCTCCAATATCTACTTTGTGACTTTGCGGATATTTGTAATACGTGGCCTTTCTCTGCAGTTTGTATGCGCTCTCAAAAATAACAGCATCGAAGAACTGCAAGCCATCCTACCTTTCGGAATTTCCTTGAAAACAAAATCCATCCAAGTGTCCAGTGGAAACGATGCACAAGGAATTAGCTTGATGTTACTCCATCGAATTGGCAGTCAAGGCCACCGATCGCCTCCAATTCAATGTTGCTTGACCAGTGACACCCTCGGCGCCTTCACTCTATCTAGAACAGAAGCGAAGCTATGGAACAGGTTTGTCATTCCCTACCCTTGTCTTCTCTGCGTTGGCGATCTTCCTGCTACAGTTTTTTGATGCGGTCTAATTCAGCAGAAATCATTCCAGATACCATATGCTATTCTTATTGCTTCAAACTAGCTGCTCGTAGATGTATTTTCCCATTTTTTGCTGAAATGTCTAACTGTTTTGTCTAAATGTGTTCAACCTGCCGGTATTTAGGTGGTATGTAACAGTGACTACGTGTTGTTCGTCCTACCGTATCTGGACTACTAAACTTAAAAATATAAATGTTCTGTCTAGGTAATAAATAAATGGTTTGTTTCTCGACTTGCGTAGCACAGCCCAGGTTGTGGGTCCGGTCAAATCATACAAGGAGTGCAAAATTCTTAATTATTCAGCTGAATGAACGGTGGGCACTTCTTTTTAATTTGACGAAGCACACGTCATTTGACACTTTCAGTCAGTCCTACGAGATGCACTGTGTCAATCGCATGTTGGTTGGTAATTTGCGAAGATATAACAAGACATCTACTCGGCTTACTGTATAGTCTGTCATTGCAGCGGAGTGAGAGGCAGTAGAATGGAGAACGAGGAGCTGTAAGCCAGCGCGGCTTGAATTAGCAGGATTGCTGTTGTTTGATGTATAAGGATCAATGCCCCAGTGTTAGTATATTTAGGCAAGACGCCAGTGAGCCAGGTGTATTCGAAGATTTCTCTGCGATGGTTGAACGAGTCTCTGGGGTACGGACAGGTTGGAAAAAAGAGCAGTGAACAACTTTACCAATTTGAAAGCGGAGCGGACTGCTGTAATGACGTCAGTTTTAACAAATGTAGTGTTGTGGATGAAATCCGATACAAGTTTATAATGATATGCTCAGTAGCATACAAGGAGTCAAAATAGTTAGGTGAGACATGCATGTTAGCTATTTGTATCATGTTCGAGATGGTCCTTTATTAGCATGGCTCAGGCTCGTATTTTGTTGAATAGGTCGTCAGTTGGCCGGCTAATATTTCGGGATCCGTAGCAGAGGCGGTACTCAAACGCTGGTTTTAGGAGGCGCATATGCGTATCTATGTCAGAAATAGCAATAGCAACCATCTTGCTTTGTATAATAATTGGAAAGGAACATTGTAACAATAGCAGGGTAGAAGAGGTTGAGTACCCGGTTTACCGATCAGTAAGATCATGTAACGAGGGGTCGAAGAATAACAACGAGGGCTCGATTTACCTTCCGTCGTTGAATTCCATGTAGGCGTAAATGCCCCGAAGTAGGTGTGGACGAGTAAGGAAAGAATATGACAGTGGTCGGATGAATGAAGAAGAGGACTCGGTTTAACGCCCCTCTTCAGCCGCCATATTTAGGTTGATATGATGGGGCAAGGATAAAATGTGATGAATTTTGGAAGGGTGGACATGGAAATTCGGTTCAATTGTTCATTTGTTCTCCGAGCTTGGTGGTTTGGTTGCAAACCCTTCACCACCATGTGAGGTGGTATCCACAGTGCCGTGAGATGCGACGTGCAATGTTACTGAATGAATCGTCGATTCGTGATCGACCTGTAGGTGACTTTTAAAAATTTCAGTCTCGATTTGCATTTCGTGACCTCTGTCTACTTCCCGCACGACTGAATTCGGCGCCCGAATTGTGACAAATTTTTCTTTATTTCTTTCTATCGAAGTGGTTGGTATATTGAATCGATCTCGACGCGCATGTTGATTGAGTTTTTCGTTGAGAACCATGCTTCCAGGAATTCCTTTCCTTTTCTTGTTTCACTCCTACTAGGACTCTTATTTTGCTCCAATCTAAGCTATGTACTCCTTCATCTACGTGCAATGAAACTTGCAGTTACATAATGCTCTATGCAGGCTCTTTTATGTTCTTATATCCTTGTTGCCAGTTTTCTTCCCGTCTGGCCAACGTACTCCCTTTCGCAATTTTGGCAACGTATTTTGTATATCACATTGCGTTGTTCATGCGCCTGCAGTTTTTCTTTTGGTTTTGACAGAGTATTTCTCAAAGTGGCAGTTGGTTTGTGTGCTACGATGAGATGATGCTGTTTGAATAGTCTGGATACCATTTCCGATAAGTTCTTGTATAAGGCAGAACAACCCGTCCCGTTGTTGTTGTTGTTGTTGTTGTTGTTGTTGTTGTTGTTGCTTCTGCTGCTGCTGTTGTTGTTGTTGTTGTAGGCTGTCTGTTTGCGTTGTTGTGATTTAGACACCTTCAGATGAAGCTTCGCGGGTATCCGTTGAATTGGAAACATTTAATTATATGATTTTCTTCCTTTTGCTTAGCTTCTGTGGTATTGCATTGTGTTTGCACTCTGCGAAACAGTGTCCGCACACAGCTTACTTTGTGGGATTTCCGGTGGTTGCTGTTAAAATTCAGAATTTGGTCTGTGTGTGTGCCTTTTTGTAGGCCGATGTTTGCAGCTCATCTTCCATGGTTCTTGTTACCAATACGTACAAGAAAGAGAGCTGACTTTCCTTCTCCGGTTTCATTTTAAATTGGATGTTTTCCATGGCGTTATTCAGTAGCTGTTGTACGACTGTATTGTGCTTGATTATCACAAAAGTACCGTCCACATACCGAACCCACAGTTTCGGATTGATAAGTGGCAGTACATCCACCTCAAATTTCTGCATAGCCATCTCTGCGATGAGTTCTGACAGCTGATCCCATTGATGCGGCTTTCAGTTGCCCATAAATCTTTCCGCTGAATAAGCAGTTGGTCGACAAACACAAGTGGAATAGTTTGCATACATTTTCGGTCGTCATTTTTCAATTTACTGCTCACTGTCGTTCGGCCGTTCTGTGATGACCGCTGTTGCTATCTACAAGTTAACAGACGTGAAGAGCGCAGTCACGTCGAATGATATCATTGTATCATCATTATCTATCCGCAGGTCTTTGATCTTTTGCATAAACCACTGAGCATTGGTTATCGAATATTGCGATCCATAGGTCAAGTGTTTGAAGTGCCTCCGCACATCTTTCGCCAGGTTGTAGGTGGGTGTTCTCGAGAAATACACCATAGGCCGCAACGGTGCACCATCTTTGTGCACCATTGGGAATCCGTAGAATTGCGTGATGTTCGAGTCGCGAGCTCTCATCTTGTCGCGCTCTTCTTTTGTGCTTTGCTTCAATTCCTGAAGCTGTTTGTAGGTTCTGTCTATTTCGCTTGTCAGCTGCGAACTTGGATCGGTTTGTTTCCTTTCTTTTGGCCTTTAATGTACGACCGTGAGGTATTACAAACACGACATTGGATACCCTCTGGTCCCTACGAATAGACCTCTATATGTGCGATATTTAGCTTAAATGGTTGCATAGTTTTTGAAGCATTTAGAAATTTATCTGTCTGTACACGGAGTACTTGAGGAGATATGCATGACCTAATGTACGGTGGGAGACACTTCCAAATCGATGCATATTTAATGAGAAAAAAGTTTGCACACACTTTGGTGTGCGACTTTGAAACTACAGTTGTGGATTTTTATCATGAATAATGGTAGCGTTCACCGGTTTTACTTGGGGGATTATCCAGATGTATGAATACGCCCTTGAATTACATTGAAATTTGCGAAATGTTTAACCATATCCTACGCAGTCATATCGGGTTCAGCATTAGCCACTTGCGGAGTTCAGAGTCTGTCATTTTCAGAGTGGAGTCCAGGATCTGTCTTTTTAAAGCACGCTGAACGCGCTCTAGTGCCTTGCATTGCCGAATATCATGCGTCAGTACTCTGGCATGTTACGTGTACAAGTCTTATACAGTATAACTTTTACACTTGTTAGGTTAAGGCGTTTAAGAAAATACATTTTTTGACTTTGGCGTCGGCGTATTGCACATGTTCGGAGAAGTTAACACTATTGGAATAGTGAAGCCCTAAGTATTCTACTTGATTACCACGTGCAAAAGGTTTGCCGAAGAATGTTAGCATTTGTGCATTTGTCACATTTGCATTTTTCGACGAATAAATTTATCCTAAGGTGGTAGACCATCCCTCAAATGCATTCAAGTCACTTTGTACGTTTATAATCATGGACTTCCGGTCCAGGGATCGAATATGTACACAACTTTTAACTCATTGGCAAACACCTAATTTATACCGTAGACAGTAATGTCAAAATGTTGTTCATGTACATTAGGAAGAGAAGTGGTCTTGAATGACGCCACTTGTCACCGCAGTGCGACAGGATATGTGATTACCTATTTTGACAGCAGGCCTCGAACTCGCGACCCGTTGGAATAGTAGTCGAAACCTCTACCCCTTTGGCTACCGAGTCACGGCGGACAACGCTTGGCAGTGTTTTCGGGCGGACAACACACAATTTCCATCAACCTAATTGTTTACTTCTCGACTATGCGAGACCCGGCCAGGTTGTACGTCCGATCAGCTCGTACGATTGGATCGCAACTTTGTTGATTATTCGAATAGATGGAAGAAGTACGCATTATCTTAGTTTGGGGAAGTCCACATCATTCAACATAGTTAGCCGAACTCACGAAAAGCACCGTATCAATCATGTGTTTGTTGCTAGTTCGCGAAGATATTACAAAGCAGTAGTTTTGTGTCACTGACATACTGACATATACTCTGCTTGCTGTGTAGTCTGTCATTGCAGCGGAGCAAGAGGTAGCAGAATGGAGAACGAAGCGCTGTAGTCGAGAGCCGATAAAACTAGAGGGATTATTGTTCCGTTGCGTAGAAGGACCAATGCACCAGTTACTTTTTTAGTATGAAGACGTCATTCATCCAGCCGTATTCGAACATTTCTCTGCATTAATTGACCGAGTCTCAGGGAAGACATGTTGGAAAGAGAACAATGGACAACGTTAACAATTTGCAAGTGGAGAAGATTGCCGTGGTGACGTCAGTTTTAACAAATCTAGTGTTACGGTTGCAATATGATACAAGTTTATAATGATATATTCAGCAGCATGCAATGAGTGCCAATAGGTACGTGAGACATGCATGTTAGCTATTCGCATCATGTTCGAGATGATCCTT